TTTGCAGCCACATTTTCCTGCAGTGCTCCGGGTGACAGCGGGTCCCGAGCGCGGGAGGGTAGGGGAGCGGGAGAGGAGGGAAGGTGCTTCCACCCACCTGTCCGGATCCTGCCGGCCCTACCGCTACCATCCCCCTGAAGCTGGCCAGCGGACTCTGCAGGTCTCTGCGGGTTTGGGGGTGGGGGGGCAGTCGTGACTGTTGGGCAGAATGAAGCTCTCGGCCCCCTCCCCGTGGGGCTCTTCCCTCGTCAAGGCAGCCAGAGCCTCCCACCCGTATGCCCACTGGGCTCTAAGGGTCGCGACCGAGTGGGGGCTGGGGCGTGCCCCCCCACCCCAAGTCGCCTGCCCCATGGAGGGCATCTGCCTGCAGCTATGGCCTTGTCTCCTCAGGTCTTGGGGCCCTGGGTCCCAGTGGAGCTCTGCATTGGAGGAGCTCAGCCCAGGTGGGGATCCCTGAGAGCCCAGAGGGCCCCGAGGTCACAGAGCCCAGTCGGCTGGTAAGGGAGAGCTCCGGGGGAGAGGTCCGAAAGCACCAAGTGGACACCAGGGTCCGCCAGGATCCACCCAGGGGGACGGTGAGTGGGGCTGGGTGGTGAGGTCAGGGGGCTGGAAGTAGCCAGGGTTCGGTGCCACTCACTGAGGCTGCAGCTCCTGCAGCTTCCCTGTCTGTGCAATGGGCCATCAGGTGAGGCTGGTGCCCAACAGTGGGGACACTGGGACTCTCCAGCTCCAGGCCCCTCTTATCACTGTGGAAACCCCCTGCCCTGTACACCCGCAGACACTAGCACGCTCAGGTTTCAGTTTGCTTCAGGTCATCCTTCAACCAGTCCCCAGCGCTCACCAGAACCAGTGGTTCTGTCTAAAACAGGTCTTGGGGGGCAGGGCAGCACCGTGCAGCTAAGCACCCGGTCAGGGATTCATGCTCATAAGTCCCACCGAAGCCGTCCCCAGTGGTCTTTCCTGGGACAGTGTCATGCTTGCTCCTGCCTCAGTTCCCCTTTTTGCACACACAGGCTTATTCATGTCCTAGCCGGAGGTGGGGCCTGTGAAACGATCTGAGGCCCAGAACTCATCTGCAAATGGTAGCTCTACCTGTGTCCTGTCCCTTTCAAGCTGCTGGGGCCCCTGCCTCCCAGAGGAAGGTTAGGAATGAAGGAGATTAAGTGCAATTAATAATTAATTAACGTCCTGTGAATAATAATCACCCAGATGGAATATTCATTCAGAATGCCTTAGCTCTCCAGGAGCTGGAAGCTGAAAGTTAGCCGGGCCAACAGGGGCGGCAGAGGGCTGTCTAGTGCAAGCCTGGCAGAAATGGGTGTAGAGAGACTCAAAAGAGGGGCAAACTCCAGGCTGAGAAGTTTGGGCCTCGGAGAGTGGTGGGAGGTGTATTGTGCTGGGCAGAGGGAGGAGGGGAACGGATGAGACTGGCGTCTGGCCCTGCCTAATGTACTTGGTTAAAAGCCCTTAAGGGGGGGCTAGGGGTGGCACAGGGGTGGGGAATAGTTGGGAAATGGAGTGGAGCAGGAAGGAACATGCATAATAGATGGACCATCACTCAGGGTTGTGTCAAAGAGGGGAGGGGAGGGGCTAATGGTCCTGAGTTGGCAGCTGCAGCAGGGGTAGGGGTGGGGGTAGAGGCCAACTTCAGTGCCCACTCTGGCACCCAGGGAGGCAGCTGAATGAGCCTTAGGGATGTCTCAGGCCCAGAGGTAGGGAGTCCTGGTTGCTTTTTGGTTCCTAGTGTAGCTTTCTATGAACTGAGCGCTCCACAGTGGACCTGACCCTGCCTGACCGCTGGGACTCTGACTTGCGCTTTACAGGATGCACACATTGTGGGGTCAAGGTCTAGTTGAGAAGCACGCAGGATGAAAAGTGGGGACTCCGGCTGGGTAGGCTGTGCCTTCAGCTAGTTCTTGTTAGTCCCCATAGCAGGCCTGGGCTATGGGAAGAGGTGAGGAAGTGCATTGGGGCTGGACTGGGTTCTGGGTGTTCTTCTGCTGGGTGAGTGGGTTGGCATGTGTGTTAAGCTGGGCATATGTGACTGAATCCAACACATAAGGAGTGGCCGAGGTGTGCGAGTGGAGAGTTCTGTGGACCTGGGGTAGTGGTTGTCTCCGGTGGAGGTTTCCCTAGGCCAGATACCCTTAAGGGACCACTTGCATCCTCCCCAGGGGAATTGCCTGGGGCCCTGGCATCTCCATCTCACAGTTTCAAAAGGCTAGAAACCTGTCCAGGTGGGTAAAGGGGAGTTAAAAGGCAAGGCCATGGGCTACTTTGGGTCAGGCACTCCACTGACAGTGTAATACGATGTGTGCTAGGGTTCCCCGGCTTTGGGGGAGGGCAGAGCTGGGACAGGAATTAGACCCTAGGTGTCACCATCACATCTTTCTGGGGAGGACCTCCTCAGCTGTTGAATGTCTGGGTTGGTCAGTTTTCATCAGAACTCCAGAAGCCGGAGCTTCTGTTCCCATTTCCCAGATGCAGCTCTCTTTACCGAGGCGCTCAATACCTCATTTCTCTTATTTGGAAGAAGATTGGGCCTGTGTCCTAGAGATCTCCTGAAGACCCAGAAAGCCATGGTCTCAGGGAGCCTGCAGCTGAGGGGCCATGGGGGAAGACAAGGGGACATGGTGTACAGTTGGGTTGGTCGTTCACTGCGTAAGTGCACCTAGGCAGAGTAAGTCAGCAGAGTCCATTGGCCCATGAAACTGCTGTGTGAATCTTGCCTGGCCCTGAGAAACACAGACTCCTTGGGGAGACTAAAGGGAAGTCAGGTTGTGGGCAGCAAGCAAAGTCAGGACTTGGGGTCCCAGGTCTGCAGACAGTTGTCACCTGAACCAGGCTGTCACTGGGAGAGCACATTCAAGAACTACCAGAGCCAATTGCTGTGGGGTGTTTTGCACAGGAGTCGAGGGTAAGTGAGTGAGACCCCAATCCATGTAAGACAGACATGGGCACAGCAAGGTCAGGGACATGGTCCCCCCAGACACAAGACCATGCTGTCATTTGCTGCTATGGCAGAATAGCAACACAGCTCCGTCTGTGCTGGGTCTTGGGGAGGAGGGGCTCTCTGAAGGAGATGAGTGACTGGAAACTGAGGATGGGGCATCTGGGGGTTGGTTACCTGTGCAGCTCCAGGTGGGAACTTAAGAGGCACACTGCGACAATCTGCAGTCCTCCCACAAGACTCTGGCCTGTGGGCCTGGCCTAACCCAAGCACCCTCCTGGCTGCCTCGAGGAGTCCAGCTGTCCAGAGTCTGTCCCCAGAGGGACTGATGACCCTGTAAGGGGTGACTCTGTCCTCAAAAATTTAGGTCAAATCCAATCATCAGAAATCTGTGCACCTGTTCTTTTCTGTGGCCTGCTGCCCTGTGGATGAATGGAGTCTTTCCACCTTGGTGGCTGCTGGGGGTGCGGGCAGGTTGGACGAGGGGGCTTCCAGACATAGCCCTGTCTCTCTGGCTCCTTCCCCAAGAGGTGGTAATTTCTCCAAGCTCAGGGAGAGAAGTGAGACTCTCCCAGGTAAATCACTACAAGCAGATCTGGAGCACAAGCCACCATTCATGTCCCCATCACAGGAGGTAAACAAAGGAAGTATTTTACCTTAAAGCTGCGTTCAGCTGTCGGCCTGTGGAGGTCCTTCAGACTGTGATGACTGACACTGACTGTAATGGTGTGCTGAGTTGGGCTACACACCATGCTCGTGACACCCCACTTTAACCATAGATAAGCTAAGGATGGGGGTGACTGGCTCCTTAGGTCTTATACGGAACATCCACCCGAATGAGTGTTGAGCACTTGGATGGGGAGAAAGGTGACAATTGCTCCTGCTCCAGAGGGTTAAAGGTCATTAAAAGGTGAATTGGTGATTATGTGTGTGTATGCATGTGTGTGTATATGTGTGTGAGTATATGCATGCATATGTCTGTATGTGGGGTGTGTGTGTGTGTGTGTGTGTGTGTGTGTGTGTATGTGTGCATATGTCTGTATGTGGGGTGTGTGTGTGTGTGTGTGTGTGTGTGTGTGTGTATGTGTGCATATGTCTGTATGTGGGGTGTGTGTGTGTGTGTGTGTGTGTGTGTGTGTGTATGTGTGCATATGTCTGTATGTGGGGTGTGTGTGTGTGTGTGTGTGTGTGTGTGTGTGTACACTCATGTATGTGTGCTGTGTTTGTGAAAACTGGATACTTAAAGCCGGGCGGTGGTGGCAGCGCACACCTTTAGTGCCAGCACTCAGGAGGCAGAGGCAGGCAGATCTCTGTGAGCACGAGGACAGTCTGGTCTACAGCATGAGTTCCAGGACAGCCAGGGCTGTTACACAGAAAAACTCTGTCTTGTGAAACCAACTAACCAACCAAACAAACAAACAAACAAACCCAAACTGGATACTTAGAGCTGAGAGCTGTGAGTGGGCTGAGGCTTCTGGGACTGGCAGGTGTTGCTCTGCAGATGAGGAGTTAAATGAGATGAGGTTCAGAGTAACTGAGGGGTAGTGCCTGGAGGTTGTGGGGAGCAGGACTCTGCAGCTCAGGTTTCCTGGGGTACCCTGGAATTCTAGTGATCTCTAGCACCCCTCTCCTACCACTGAGACGCAATGTATGAGGCCGAGGCTGTTGTCCTTCTCTGTGCCCTAAGTCTGGCTGGGGCCCACCCAGGGAGAGGCATGGAGCAAGTGAGCCATGGGCAGCTGGAAGCAGGTGCCTGGGAGGCAGGGAGGCCCCGGCCACAGGACAGAGTCTGGTGGAGGGGCAGTCACCTGCCAGGTCACCACAGCTGACATGCAGACACAACCTCCAGCCCTGGAGTGAAACTTCACCTGGCACCTCCCCAGCATGACCCTGGGCCTGTCACCACCTGGTGTTGCTCCCTGAGGATCTGCCAGCCCCAGCAGGGTGAGATCAAATGAACAGAGCACCTAAGCACCAAGGTCGCCAAGAAGAGGCAAGCGCAGGGCATGGGGTCATGACCAGTCCTGAGAGGCTGAGGTGGCCAATTGCTGTGACTTCATGTCTGGAGAGCCCCGGGACTGAGAGTCGTGGGAGGAGGCATGGCTGGGGCTGCCGCAGGGACAGGGGGACAGTCTGGCAAGGAGAGCTATTGACTTCGGCAGAGCACTGGCCAAAAGCTTGACAGGGATTTTCAGGTCCTGGAGCCAGCGCCCAATGCCTGGAACAGGTCTGGGTTTGCATTATCTGGCTCTCCCTCTGATACTGGACTGAGCTGGGCCAGGCCAACATGCCTTGGTGCCTGAAGTGTTAACCGTTTCCCACTCCCTGTACAGAGAACTCTCCTGACTGGTATTCTCTGAGCTGAACCCATGGCACTGGAGAAGGGTGGTGTGTCCCACAGCCCAGCTTCACTGCTTCACTGCCCGCAGAGTATTGGAGAAAGAGAGCCCTGCCTGTGTCTCACTGCTTTCCCCAGAATGAGATCAGCATGGTCCCCGCAAAGCCGGCCTCCCAATTTCAATGTGCACTCACCTTACCTTCATCAGAGGGAAAATCTGGGGCTCAGGGAGACTTCTGGGTCATCCCTATGGTTGCACAACTTAGAACAGGACCAAGGGAAGGGTTCTGGAGAGCCCTTCTCTGGGCAGCCAGGATAGGGACAGACAGACAAGGAGCAGTCCTGAGAAGAGGAGAGCAGAGATGCCTTGGCAGAGCTGAAGAAGAGAGGACCCGAGCCAGGACAGGCCTAGGGGAGGGGACAACAGACTTGGCCAGGTTAAGGGCTTAGAGAGGGAGGCAACAAGAACTCATTGCCCTTGGCTTTCTATTTTGAGTCTGATCGATGCTCTGGGGGCTTAGGGTGGAACTTGGAACCTCAGAAGGCCTGAGATGGGGTAAGTCCGTGTCCTTGGGGCTCACAGGTCTGCTTTCCCAGGCCCTGGCCCTTTGGCTTCTCCTTGCCTGCATTCCCAGGGCCCTCTATGGCTCTGGGCTGACTTCCATCTCCTGTCACCTTTGTAGAAGAAAGGCCTTGGAAATCTATTCCCTGGGATTGAATATCAGCCTCTGTTTTTTGTTTTTGTTTCTGTTTTCTTCCTTTTCTGTTTGGGAAACAAGGTCTCAGTATGGAGCCAAGACCAACCTGGAACTATGGAGCCGAGGCTAGCCTCAAACTCATGATCTTCCTGCCTCATCCTCCAAGTGTTTCGATTGCAGATTGCATCACCACACAGGGCATTAGCATCTCTTACCTATATGGCCTTGTGCTCACCAATTAGCATCTCTGTGCTGGTTCCTGGCTGTCAGGAAGGACCGGAGCAGCTGTCCCACAGGGTTGTGAGATCAAATATAGCAGTGCTCATGAAGGTCTCAGACCAATGCATGGGCCCAAAGCAGTGTTCAGAAAGAGTTAGTTGTGATTAGGTGGTAGAGGGGTCAGCTAGGCATGGGCTGTGAAACCCGTTGACCATCCTGCAAGGTACTCTCCAGCACAAAAGCCAGCCAGAGAATAGACACTCCTACCTGGACAGCAGAATGGCAAGGCTCTTGCCCGGCATCTAGAGGTCTGCCCTCCTAAATAGATGGGGTAGAAGGCAGACTCCAACCCCTGAATTCAGCCCAAAGACCTTTCCAAGTGTTTTAGAAGACCAAAAAGAGTTGCCAGCTTGGGATGGCGCTTAGGCCCCTAAGGTGTGTCCCTAAGGTGTGTCCCTAAGGTGGTTGTAACTCTCAAGCCAGCTCCCCCTTAGCCCAAAGCTCTGCTGCCCTTCTCAGGAAGTGGGGTGAAGCTTTCCCTCCAGCCTTTGATGTCTCTGTTTTCCAACCCCCACCCACCAAGCAGCTGGGCACCCAGGCAGAGAGGGCAGCCATCTTGCTCAGGCCTAGTCCATTGCCATGGCAACCTGGAGCCTCCCAGCCCCACTGCATATGCCCCTTTGAAAAATTTATCAGGAAAACTTCCATGTTTAAAAATTAACTGTGGGGTTGAAATATTAAAGATGAGCTGTTTTGGGCAGGCAAAGGGCAATGGGTTGGAGCTGTGGGAGCTCTACTTTCCTCTCAGGGTGGTACCTGCCCTTGCCCAGCAACAGGGCCCCAGTGGTCCATTCCCACCTGCTCCACATGTCTGAAAACCCAAGTCCTCCTGTGTGGATTGCAGTTGGGGCCTGCTTCCCTTCCCCTGCCCACCGTGAGCTGGGGACCCTTCAAGGCCTTTCCATGGAGTGTCTGGGGGCTTCTTTTTGTTCCAATGAAGCTGGGGTGACCCTGCCAACAGCTGAGAATCTAGCATGAGACATAGGCAGGTTAAGAGGTGCATCTCTGCCCCTGATTCTCAAAGAGACTAATCCAGAGGACAGAGGGTGCCCAGGACCTGGGTGAGGTGGGCTGTGGCCAAGGTTGACCAGCTATCCCCAGGAAAGGAACAGGGTCCCAGAGGACAAGGGCCCCAGAGAGGAGTCTCCTCAGCTGCTGGAGCTTGGCTGCCCCTCCCCAAGGTTCCTCTGGGGTTCCCCACCCCCACTTCAGGCTGACTCCTCTCTGTCCTTCCCCACACCAGCCCGTGCACCTGGCCCAGGTGAGTTTCGTCATCCCAGCCTTCAACACAAACTTCACCCTGGACCTGGAGCTAAACCAGTGAGTGGAGCCTGGAGCCAGTGGGTGGGCAGTGGACAGTGGGGCTTGGCTGGCTGGGGGTCCTGGGGGACTTGAAACCTTAGCTGGGGTGAGACCTAAGTGGCACCTGGCCTCACCATGTGACCTTCCTTCCTCCTGCGGTTTCAGTCACCTCTTGTCCTCGCAGTACGTGGAACGCCACTTCAGCCGGGAGGGGACAACTCAACACAGCACTGTGAGTGGCCCTGGAAGGGACTGAGTGGGATAGAGGTGTTTGTTCCATGGTTACAGGTGCAAGGGTGCAAGGGTGGGGCTGTAGGTGTGAATCAGAGGGCGCCTGCCTGACATGTGTGAGAACTTTGATCCTCGGAACCCCAGCACAGAGAAGTGGTGAGGACAGGGAGGTGGCTGGTAGAGGTATGTCAAGGATACACTCAGCATGGCCTGGTGTCTGGGGACCTCCCATCCCTCCCTACCTTAGAGGCTCTGTGGACCAGCAGTTAGGAAGGACAGGTGGTGTGGGTCCTGAGCCCTCTCGTTCAGGCTGAGGTCTGACTCCCCCAGCTCCTGCCTTGCATGGAGGTGTAATAGCACCCTGCTATGCGATGTTAAGTATATCACCAGAACCTCCTGGGGGGGGGAAGTTTTGGAAGACATGACAGCCCCTTCCTTGGTTGGGGAGTGCTGGGGACCAAACCCAGGGCCTTGCACATCCTAGGCAACAGCTCCACCCCTGAGCAGCAAACCAAAATGCCCCCTCTTGCCCTGGGAGTCCTGGATGTCTGCCACACTAGGGTCCCAGCCCTGGAGGCCCGAGAGCCTGAACAAAGATGAATGAGTGTCTATAAATAGCTCCCCCCCCCCCAGCCTGTTCTGGAACTGGAGCACAAGTAATTCCGCAGGAAGCAGAGTTGGGAGAGGCGGGTGCTGCTGGTCCCCTCTGACCTACGAGCCAGGTCAGGAGAACCCATGCTGTCACAGTCCCTCAGCTGCAGACAACGTGTGACTGTGAGCTTGGGCACGAGGGCTGGGGGTGCATCTACAGCAGGCCCTGGTTAAATGACACACTGTATGTGGCGTGCTGAGAACAGGGCCTGGGGGGTGGCAGGTACAATGTAAGAGCCATCTGTTGGTCTCAAAGGAGTCTGGGATCCCTCACCAGCCCCAACAAATAGCCAGGAGCTGCTGCCATGGCCCCATGTCCTCATTTTATAGGGTTAGATAAAGCTGACCCAGAAAGTATTAGGAGACAGAGGAATTAGAAGTCCCACCAGCTTAAAGTCCCTGGTATTCATGAGACTGCAGTCCCTGAATTGTACCCCTACTTGCATGCTGGGGCAGGGTGTCCTCCTGTCTCATTCGCAGCTCTGCTGTTCGGCAGGGGGCTGGAGACCACTGCTACTACCACGGGAGACTCCGAGGCAACCCACACTCTTTGGCTGCGCTCTCCACTTGCCAGGGACTGCAGTGAGTATGGCGGGGGGGGGGGGGGGTTGAAAAGGGGGGGGGGAGGCCTGCCTGCCCCCGGGGGGGGGGGGAGTCGCGC